GGAAGCCGCCGGCGCTCAGCGCGCCCAGGCGCACCTCGGCCGCGCGCGCCTCCCTCATGCCCGAGCGGAAGAGGCCGCGGAAGAAGCCGCAGTGCTCCACCAGCAGGGCCCGGTCGGCCTGGAAGAGCTGGCCGCCCACCCACACCTGCACCGGCACCTCCGGACCTGGAAGCATGGCGAGCCAGAGCGCGGAGGCTGCTGTCGGGGGCCTGGATTCAGCGGCCACCGACTCTGGGGCTCCCCCGTAGCGGAAAAAAAAACTTCCCTGGGATATAAATATGTCCCTGGCTAAAGATAGTATGGCTCATGTGATGTGGTGGCTAGCAGGTTGTATGGCCCGGGGCCCAGAGGGCATCCAGAGACCTGCACGGTCACTCAGTCCCTCATGGGAAATGGCAACAGTGACCATGTACTGAGCACCTACCTACTGCATGCTGGTCACTGTGAGGGACGCTTCTGAAGATGCCCCATGTAACCTGCACTAAACCGGCTGTATGCCTCTGTGCAAGTGCCCTAACTGACCCTGTGTCCTCAAAATGGGGCCAATAATAACACCTCTTTCCTGATACAGGTGGCCCCTGCTTTTTGAATGTTCACTTTATGCCACTTTGCTTTCTTGAAAGACCCACATTACTGTCTGTTTTCATTAACTAAAAGAAAGTCCGAAAAGCGAAAAGAGCGTTGAGTTTTGCAACCAGTCCTTGTAGAGGCAGCTTGCACGCTGAGCAGCAGCGAGAGTGGCCCCTCCAAGCTCCTTCCCTGGGGAATTACACTCAACATCTCAACATTAAGCCGCCACAACTCTGAACTGTGTCTGTGAGCATCTGTGCTTTATCCGTTTATTTTCTGCATCCATTAGCAAAATGTGTCCTAAGGTAATTGCTTCTTCGCTTTAGGCCATTTCGATTTACTTTCAGATAATGGGGGAAACCTGTATTGGGACAGTATCTGTAAAGTGTTCAGAATGAGGCTCAGAGAATATTCGTGACTTGTTCAGGGTCATTGAACTGGGAAGAAGCAAGGACAGGATTAATACCTAGCCCACCCCACTGGCTGGTGGCGGCAGGGAGTACTTGGGCACTGGAGGGAGGAGGCAGAGATGGAACAGACAGAGTGAGCCAGGCTGGGGTCTGGAGCAGAGCTCTTGTTTGGCCTGGGCCCTGACTCTGGGTTAATCCAATCTCATTTTGAGCCTGGATTTTCTTCTCCATAAAAACGGGAGGCTGGCAGGTGTCCAATAAGCCCCTGAATGTGAAAGTACTTTCTGACTTGGGATGGAAATGGGAAGCTGATGTCTATTCCCTACTTGCCAGCACTCCTCCACTTCTGTGTCTCTAAACCTTAGGAAAAGGAAAGTGGGGCTGCTGATCTTATATCTGTGGCTGAGAAGGAGAAGGGCTTCTTGAAATAATAATAGTTAACTTAAATTGCACTATGTGTCAGACACTTTTGAAAGCATTTTAATTCCTATAATTATTGCAACAATCCTATGAGTAAATGCTATTATTTTCCCTCATTTAATAGGTGTTATCCACTTATTGCTTATAGCAACACTATGAGTTAAATATTTTTAATAACCCCATTTTATAGATTAGGAGACTAAGGCACTAAGAGGTTTAGTCACATGCTCAAGGTCACATGGCTGGAAAGTGGCAGAGCTAGGGCTGGAGTGCAGCCAGTCTGACTCTAGAGCATGTGCCCCTAACCACTGTGCCTGCTGTCTCTCTCTGCTACAAATGCTGGGCCAAGAGGTCACAAGCAGAAGGAACTTCAGGCTCATGTGGTTCAACCCCTTCATTTATAGTGGAGGATCAGAAAGAGAATTGCCCAGAGTTATTTAGCTTGGGGCAGACGGTCCCAGGCCTTCTGCTGCCCAACCCTAGGGTACTTTTCCCACTGCACTGAACTTTCATGGGTGACCAGCTAAGACTCTGAGTCTCAGAATGTCAGGTGGAAGGGTGATTATCTTCTCCTGTCACCTCATTCTACAGGTGGGGAAACTGAGGCCCAGACCTGTGTAAGAGGGTATCTGCCATTCTGGAGATGTTCAACTGCAGGACTTCTTCAGGAGGATGGACAGGCTCACAGTGACAGAGTCGGAGCTGGGAGGAGGCAGGGGGACTTCCCTTCCCCCAAGACACAAACATGCACAGACCCTCACGTATGAATCTGTAGACCCAACACAAATGTGCCTCCCTTGCTGGGGGACTCCCACCCAGTTCACTACATCAAAGCAGGTCTGGGATGTGAGGACGACTTTGGAAAGCCTGGGAAGCCAAAGGCCTGAAGGAGGCAGCCAGAAATATCCCAGATGCTCTGCCCTAGGGACCAGACAGGAAGAGGAGGAGGAGATGGAGGGAGTGGGCAAGAGTCCCCATGAATATATCCCAGGCCCTCTGCCAGCTTCTTTCCTTCCCTGAGGCCAGACATTGGCTGACAGGGGACAGTTGTGACAATCTCCCTCTTGGAGGAAAATAGGCTCTGCAGTGCCTAGTCTTAACTGTCCTTGCTAGTGGGCTCAGGGGTAGGAAGAGGGTATCTAACTATTCCCATTTCACAGACGAGGAAAGGGGGGCCCAGAGATAGGAGGGGCTTTTCCTTGATTATGAAGATATGAGACTGGATTGAATCCTGTTCACTGATCCCAGGTCCCAGCCCAGCCACCTCTCCTCACCAGCACTAGCCTTGTCTCAGAGGAGAGAAACTGCTGTCTCTAGGCATAAGCTAAGAGGTGGGGTTCGGAAGGGGCTGGCCCCTAGGGGGCCACAGTTTCCTCCCAAATGGCCTGTTTCAGGTACTTAGTAACTGGCAGACACAACCAGATGGAGCCACTACCAGGACCTC